ACAATAGACAATATAAGACCCCGAACTTGTAGGCAATATAAAAAATGGGGTTGTAGTCAAAGCTGTCTTGAGCTTCTGAAAGATCGCCTAACACTCTTATGTCCACTGGAACGGAGCACCCTTCTGGGTCAGCCTGGTCATAGGCGCTGCAATAGATGAAAACCCTTCAACAAATCGACGGTAATAACCCGCCAAGCCAAGAAAACTGCGGATCTCTATAGCTGAGGATGGTCTGGGCCAACTCTGTAATGCTTCCACTTTCTTTGGATCCACCTTTATCCCCTCACTCAATACCACGTGACCCAAGAATGCCAAGGAATCCAACCAAAACTCACATTTTGAGAACTTTGCATATAACTTCTTTTCTCTCAAAGTCTGAAGCAATGTCCTCAGGTGCTGCTCATGATCTTCCCGACTCCGAGAGTATACTAAACTATCATCAATAAAGACAATGACGAACGAGTCAAGATATGGCCGGAACACACTGTGCATCAAATGCATGAAGGCTGTTGGGGCATTGGTCAGCCCAAATGACATAACAAGGAACTCGTAATGACCATATCGAGTCCTGAAAACAGTCTTCGGGATATATGGCTCCCGAATCTTCAACCATTGATAACCTGAAAGCAAGTCAATCTTAGAAAACACTCGTGCATCTTGTAACTGGTCAAACAAATCATCAATATGAGGCAAATGATACCAGTTCCTCACTGTAACTTTGTTCAACTGGTGATAATCAATGCACATACACATAGAACCATCCTTTTTCTTCACAAACAAGATAGGAGCACCCCAAGGTGATACACTGGGACGAATAAAACCCTTATCAAGCAATTCATGTAACTGATCCTTCAACTCCTTCGACTCAGAAGGGGCCATACGATACGGAGGAATAGAAATGAACTGAGTGCCCAACAACAAATCAATGCCAAAATTAATATCTCTGTCGGGCGGCATACCCGGAAGGTCAGTTGGAAACACATCAGGGAAGTCCCGTACTACTGGAACTGAATCAACTGTAGGGGTATCAAAACTGACATCTCTCACATAGGCTAGATATGCGTCACACCCCTTCTCAACCATTCGCTTAGCCTTAAGGAAAGAAATAACTCTACTGGGAGTGTGATCTAAATACCCCTCCACTCTACTTACGGTATACCTGGCATAGCCAGCGTCGCGATTTTGGCGTGACAATAAAGAATAGCATAATGGGGCGACAACTAGTTCATGCCCAAGATAACATCGAAATCTACCATGTTGAGCAATAATAAATCGGCCCTGGTCTCAAAACCACTAAGAGCAACCAAACACGACCGATAAACGCAGTCCACAATGAGAGAATCTCCCACGGGAGTAGAAACATAAACAAGGGAACTCAAAGGGAAAACTAAGAAGACACATAAGAATAAGTGGAGCATGGATCGAATAAAACTAATGCATCTCTATGACAGACCAGGACAATACCTGTGATGATAGAATCGGAGGCGACAGCCTCGGTACGAGAAGGAAGGGCATAATATCTGGCCTGGCCTCCCCCTCTATGGCGACCTCTAACTCCCTGACCTCCACCTCTAGCTGGCTAAGCAGGTGGGTAGCAACTGGTGTTGTGACCATAGCCTGGGAACTCTGCGGGACACGCTGTGGCTGGGAAGTCTGTGGAAGTGCACCCCTCCTAACTCTAGTGAAATCCCGCACCATATGACGTGTGTCACCACACTCAAAACAAGCTTTAGGAGGACGTGGCGGCTATGACTGGCTCGGGCCAGGTCTGGACTGACCACTGAAAGCACCCCGTGCAGAAGGCGCACTAGATACTAGAGGTGCATAATAAGGCTCTTGAGGTCTAAGAGGGGCTGGAATACCACTGGCTGCTGGAAGAGCTGAATGAACAGGACGACTCATATAACCCCTACCATGACGAACTGCAGCTGGAGCACGGACACCAGAATAATGGCCCGACTCTCGAGACCTCTTGGCCTCCCTCTCCTCTCTGTCTCGAGCATGCATACCCTCTACTCTCCTAGCAATGTTCACCACCTGTTGATAAGAGATAGCAATCTCCAACTCCCCAGCCATGCTAGACCTGATGCTGGGAATGAGCCCCTCAATAAACCGGCGAACTCTCTCACGAACTGTAGAAACCAAAGCTGGTGCATGCCTAGCCAACTCAGTGAAATGGACAGCATACTCCAAAACAGTCATAGTACCCTGGCGCAAATGCTCAAACTCTGTGCGCCATGCATCCTTGAGACTCTGAGGGACATACTCCTTCAGGAATATATCTGAAAATTGAGTCCAAGTAAGGGAAGCTACCTCAGCTGAACTGTCCAACTCAAAAGTACGCCACCACTGATAAGCTGCTCCTCGAAGCTTAAAGGCAGTGAAAGAAACCCCACTCGATCCTGATATATCCATAGTGCGGAGGATATGGTAGCACTCCTCCAGAAACCCCAGAGCATCATCTGATGCTAGACCACTAAATACAGGAGGCGTGTACTTCTTGAACCTCTCAAGCCTCCACTGCTCATCCTCTGAAGCTGCTGCCCTGTCCTCGGACTGAACTGGGGCCACAAGACGTGGGCCCGGGGAGGATTCATAGTGTCTGAGATGTAATTTACCAACATAAGGAAAAGTAATTTTTCAATGATTATTAGTTTACGTATTATCTTTGCTGCATTACAATCTTTGTCACGTGATACTGATCCAAACGACCGTAGATTTATGGGAAATTTTATTGTTTTGCCTTAATTTTTTTGGTTTGTCCCAGTGTTTTGCAATTACATTTATTAAGCTGGAATTTCTTAGAACTGAAGGACGACATTTCAGTTGGTTTCCACATAAATATAAAGATTTATTTTTTCAAATATTATGTTCCTTTTTAACTATTGACTTTTTTATGTTTTATTTTCAGGAGAGAAATTCTTTTTATTAATGAATAGCATCTTAGTTATTGCTCAATTTTAACGTGGATTTAGGTGTTGACTCTAATGAAGCAAAACTAGTGTGTCATGAAAATATATTAAGAATATGGCTAAAAATTAGTTTCATAATTTTTAAAGGAAAATAAGAAAAGGTCCAAAATTATCTTTGTACTTGTGAAAAAGGTTCAAACTTTACCCTCTATTAGGTTTATCCATGTTCTCACCGTTACAATTTTGACTCGGAATTGCCTTTAATCATTAACTTCCCGCAAAGTATATACTATGATTTTACATCTTTTTTAAGATTTTTTAATGAAAAATATTTCGTCTTAAATATAAGACAAAACAACGCATCTTAACTGGAATAACTAAAAACAAAAAATTAAAAATAATGAAAAGGAGAGAATAAGGTATTACAAAATATGAAGGTGCAAACTTGATATATTTGCCCCTCTTTTTCTTCCTCTAAACTCTTTCCTTAATATATTTAGTTATTTAACAGAAATTGTTGAAACTTCTGGTGGGGAGTTCTTGGTGGGAAGGATGCCGGAGATTTATTTGGAAACAGCCTCTCTACCCATGGTAGGGGTAAGGTCTGCGTACACACTACCCTCCTCAGACCCCACTTGCAGGATTATACTGGGTTGTTGTTGTTGTTGTTTTTTATTTCTCTAAAGCAAAATTTGGAAAAAAAGAAACTAAAAAGGAAAGGAAACATAAACAAATTTAAAAAGGAAAAAAATGCAATGAGATCGGGGCCTTTATTCTTTGGATTACGGCAAGCAAACAGTTCAAGACTTGAGGCAAAATTTACATGAACAGGATATTAATCGTTCAGAAATCACATATGATATCGTCTTAACTTATTTTTTTTTCCACTTATCTATCTCCTCATGGAAAATGACACTATGGAAGCTAGTCTAACAGAGAAATGACTGAAACTTTAAAGTGCCCTCGTACTTGCCACTGAATTTATCATTTGAACTAATTTGCTGAATCAAAATTAGAAATTCTTGAAAAATAATATATAGTACATGAATATATAATGGGTTAACAGACGGATACTAAAATCTACATTTTACATACTTAAATATATGCACGGCGAAGAGCTGTCAGCAATATTTGCATCACTTTACCTTATAATAATATTGATATACCCAAAATTCAATGCACCAGCCTATAGCACTTGTTGTGAGGACATTTCTTAATCCTTGATCAGCAGACATTATCGTCGCCAATTTTCACTAGAATTCATGCAGAACAACCAGTTTAGAGTGTGTTTGGTCGAAGGAAAATGATTGGTTTTATCACTTATTTTCCCTTGTGTAGTTGGTGAGTGAAAAACGTTTTTTTGAAAAATATTCCAAATATCCCACATCAAATGTTTGAGATGTCAGTGCCACGTAGGATTGGATGTCCACTTTGGCCAAACTTAACGGAAGAGGGATATATTTGAACCAATAGTATAACGACATGAGTATATTTGGACCCAAAGTATAATAAGGGGTGAATTTAAACCTTTTCTCATAGTACAGGGTATATTTGGACCTTTTCAGTTGTATCTTTTAGTACGACACTTCTTTTTACTTCTCTATTTTCCCCTTTTTGGAATCATGGTACAACACTTATAATATCAAAATAAAAAATAAAAATTACTAAAAATTATGAATCAGTTCGCACAATGAGATGTGAACCTTCATCGACAATAAAATAAGCTCTGTTTTATAGCCTGGTATCATATAAGATATTAGTTTAAAATAATTTTATAGATAAAACTATTTTTCGGGTCATCAATCACTTGTTCAGTACAATTTTTGACAAAAAACAGAATAATTTATTTATTAATTAAAACTCATAACAAGGCCAAGTTACAAATCATAACGAAACAAGAACACTAATTCTAAACTGGATATACAAATAGTAAATAACAGAAAATGCTAATGCCAAATTCTGGGGCTGAAGATAGGTCAGTAGCATCAGCAGAAGTGGGATGGCATCAGATATCTGACCTGAGTGCATTAGTTATAGTATTATCTCTTCCTGGACACTCACATTAAGAGTTTTGTTTGGTAGGACAATGCTGTTCACTACCACAACCTCGTCTTCAACCGATACAGATTCACCTGATTCGAAAAACAGATTGACTAAGACATTGTACCTCAGAGATATAATATATATCACAATTTACGTTGAGAGAGTACCAAGAATTGTGACACCTAGCTTGGCATTGTAGTCTCCTGCAGCCTGAAATCAAGTTTTCATTCAGTTTAGACTTCAACAAGAAAAATACAACTAGAGAAACCACTGAAATACTGAAAGAACAATATTTCTCTCCATATTATGAAAGAGATACAAGAGGAATATAATAAAGGAAACAGAATTCAAGAACACGCTCTTCATACTAATATAATGCTCCTACCAAATATATTACCAGTAGAAACTATATTTTCAAACTTTGACGCACAAGCACTTTAATTTGTCTTATCAAGTTTGCGACTCTAGAATTCTGATACAATGGAATAGTATGATAGCTTATCCTTTGATCTAATCATCCAAAACGGAAAAGCAGAAACTAACGAAATGATAATACTTTGATGACTACGACAAATAGACAACTCAAGAGTGAATAGATACCCTAGTGCATATTTGGGGGTGTAAAGTGTTAGAAGTAGTTCATGTATAGTTGTCCCACACTCGTATGGAAAGCTTTAGGTATATGTAAACATTGTGTATAAATAGGGGTATTGTAAAATACTTGCACATTAATAATATAATTTTTTCCGTGCTTTCTCACATGGTACCAGAACAATTAGTGAGAAATCTCCGTTGTGCAGTAACCAGTGAGTCCGAGACAATAATCGTGCCTTTTTTCAATGAATTTCAGACTGCTTTTTGCGTCACCTCTTCTCCGGTGAATTTTTTTACGAAAAGTAACACCACCAATAGGTGCTGAATTCTCAAGCGACCAAACCCCAGAAAACCATACCGACAGATTCCTAGCCACGCACCTGAAAACCCTCTGACGTCGGTGGCATGTCAGACCCACGTGTCGGTGCGGGACACGTGTTCTGACCATTTTTTGAAAAAGTCTCTTCAGGACAGTTGTCTCGTCTAGTAATTCCGATCCTACCCCTATTGTTTTCTTTTCATTTCATCATTTTGAGATTTTTCCGGTGACCACTGATTTTCTGGCAGTTACAGTAAATTTTCTGGTAACTACATTGTTTCCTTTATCTGTTTCAGCGAGTTTACAGTTGATTCTTTCTGTTATTTGGTGATAATTAGACCTTTCTTCAGTCCAACGATGTCTTTGGGATTTGATATTTTTGGGTCTAAAAATACGGGTTCTGGAAGTTCCAATGTTATGATTACCTCGGAACCTTTAATAGAAAGTTCAAACTACTTAGGCTTCGTCTGTCGAGTTGTGGTGTAAAGGTCAAGGTATTCAAGATTATTTAACCGAAAAGGCTAGCGAAGGAGATGAAAAGGCCAAAGCACTTTGGGAGAATATCGATGCTCAGTTTTGTAGCATCCTATGGCTATCTATTGATTCCACGTTGATCCCCTTATTTCGTCCATTCCAGACATGTTATTTAGTTTGGGAAAAAGGCTCGCACTTTATACACTAATGACATATCTCGCTTCTATGATGTGATATCACGGATGACAACTTTAAAGAAACAAGAATTAGATATGTCTACTTACTTGGGGCAAGTACATGCACTCATGGAGGAATATGAGAAGTAGATGCCAGTTTCTACTAGTACGTAAAAGCAACAAGAGCAATGACATAAGAAGTTTCTAGTTCTTACCCTCACTGGACTTCCTAAAGAACTTGATTCAGTACACGACCAGATTTTGGCTACTGTCCCCACAGTTGATGAATTATTCTCTTGATTACTTTGCCTTGCTGCAGTGCGCAGTCATGCAGTGATATCATCACAGATAACTGACTCCTTTGTTCTCGCATCCCAGATAGTGGAAAATAAAGCACCTTAGACTATGGAGAATAGGCGATGAGGAGGTCGTTTTGGAAGAACTCGACCAAATTATTCTTATTGTAACAAGCTTGGGCACATTCGTGAGGTGTGTTATGTTAGTTATAAGTTTCAATGATGAAAAAACAATATATTACATTTGATGTAGCAGCACAAGGAATAAAGGAAATAAAGAAGCAGCAATGGTCAGGAATAGATCAAGGAACATAATCAATGATCAGCGATAAAAAAGGGGAAGAAGCAGTGAAGATCCAGCAAGAATAAGTCAATCAAAAATTGACGCAAGTTAACAAGGAAGAAGTAGCGAAAATCTGGCAAGAGAAATCAATCAGAGATTGACGGAAGCTATTATTGGAAGGCCCCAAATCAAAGGGAATCGAGATCACTGAAAATCAATGGAAGCGAAAATCATGGGATCCAGCGAATATGCCTAGTGGATGAAAAGCTCGTCAAAGCCATTAATCAAGGAAGATCAACAGAAACTTGACCTTATTCTTGGAAAGAATTAATCTATGATTCCTTTCAAGGATCAACTCCCTTGGGTTTGCAATCTCTCGAGATTCTTGAAGGCCTCATGGAAAGTATATATACAGATGATTCTGACGTGACAACATATACTTTGATCGAACCATCTACCCTCTTTTTGTTCTACTCCAGACGAGCATTGTAGTTTTTTTAGATCTGTTGTGTAACTAGTGAGAGAAGAAAAAGAGATAAACACTGGTGAGACATTGTATCAAGAAAAGAAAAGAGACATAGAGACTAAGCTATTGGTGTAAAGCTACGCCATTCATTCTGTACTCAAGAAACATCGATCACTAAAAGAGAACACCCTTGCAACCCAAGGGGATTGGACTAGGATTCACATTGAATCTGAACCAGTATAAAAATTTTGGTGTCTTTATTTCCTGCATTTCATTTCTGCATTTATTATTATCCTGTTCTTATTTCAAGTCGACTAATTGGTAAACTAGTTAGCTACTTATAAAAGTTTTTAAAAATAAACAATTCACCCGCTCCCCTTCTTGTACTTTCATGTTACTCTTTGCACGGTCGACCACATAGAAATGCTCATGTTGCTCAGACTGAGACTCCAGGTAGCCAGGGGTTTTCTTTATCTAAAGGGGAGTATAATGGTTCCTTCAGTATCGAGCAACAAAGTAGACACCTCCACAAGTAGCCTCAATCACTACTGTTGGTAACTCTTTTTCCTGTGTTTCCAAGACCACTATTCTTGGACCATGGGTCATAGACTCAGGCACATCTGATCATATTTTTGATAATAGGTCACTTTTGTCACATATTATTTATTCACAATATCTTCCCAATATTACTCTAGCCAATAGAGTCCACACAAAAGCAAAAGGAGTTGGACAAGCTAATTCCCTATCCTCTGTCACTTTATATTCTTTTCTTTATGTCCCTGGTTGTCCTTTTAATCTCACACATGTTAGTCGTTTGACTCGTGCCTTTCATTGTGGTATACATTTTATTGATGATTCTTTTATTATGCAGGACCACAGTACAAAACAGACAATTGGCACAGGGCGTGAATCACAAAACTTTACTACTTTAACTCAATCAATCCCTCTACGGAATGTCCAGCTACAGATTCTCCAGACCTAATTCACAGACGTTTAGGACATCCGAGTTTATCCAAGTTTTAGAATATGGTTCCTAGTTTGTCTAGTTTGTCCACATTAGATTATGAGTCGTGTCAACTTGGAAAACATATTCGAACTACATTTTCACGTAGTGCAGGGAGCCGTGCAGAGCCTGTTTTTTCTTTAGTTCATTATGATATATGGGTCCTACTTGAGTTAGTTTAATGTTAGGATTTTGTTATTTTGTTAGTTTCATTGATGATTACTCAAGATGTACTTGGATTTTCCTAATGAAAGATCGTTCTGAGTTGTTCTCTATATTCCAGAGTTTTTGTGCTGAAATTAAAACTCAGTTTGGTGTTTCTATTTGCACTTTTTGTAGTGATAGTGCCTTAGAATATTTATCCTCTTAGTTTCAGCAGTTTATGACTTCTCAAGAAATTATCCATCAGATATCTTGTCCTTATACTCGTCAACAAAATGGGGTAGCAGAGAGAAAGAATAGGCATCTCATTGAAACTGCTCGCACACTTCTCATTCAATCCCATGTTCCACTGCGTTTTTGGGGCGATGCAATTCTTATAGCGTGTTGCTTAATTAATCGAATGCCTTCATCTTCCATTCAGAATCATATTCCACATTCAGTATTGTTCCCTTAGTCACCTGTATGCTCTCTTCATCCTCGTGTTTTTGGGAGTACATATTTTGTTCAATACTTAGCTCCTAGAAAAGATAAATTAGTTCCTCGTGCTCTCAAGTGTGTCTTCTTTGTCTATTCTCGGGTTCAAAAAGGGGTATTATTGCTACTTACCTGATCTTCATAGGTATCTTATGTCAGCCGATGTCATGTTCTTTTAGTCTCAACCTTACCTTACTTCATCTAATAATCTTGATATATGTGAGGTCCTACTCGTACCCACTTGTGAGGAATCTAGTGTTCCTCCTCTTACATCCCCATCGACATCCACAGTAGCACCACAATCGCTCCTACTTATATAGACGTCTGAGGAGGCTAAGCAAGACTTAAAGGCTCTAGCGAACAACCATCTGGTAAGAGGTTTTTTCGGAAAGCAAAAACCCAAAGGTTAGCCTTGCATGAACTAGGGAAAAATAGAACTCAACTTCACACTGGTTAGCAAAACCCTAGAGCTTCCCTGCTTCGGTATAACCTTCTACTTTAACAAGTCAAAAGTTTAGACTTCGGTAAAGTTTAAGCGTCAAGTGCTCTTCTTGTCGCTTATCTGGTCTCAACCTCTACTGGTCTTAAGTTGCTTACCCATTTCCCGATCTCTCTTCTGCAATTGACCTGAGACTGGGAGTTGAACTCGAGGCGAAAGGAATGAAGCAAGGGTATGAATGGAAAGAGAAGAGGGATATTCAGATTCATCTTTTACTGTTCAAGAGTGCACTACAATTGAAATAGAAACTTTTAAATCAAAGCGACTGTTAGGTTGTATGAGTCCACCAAACAGTAGAGTGCCTAGTCCTCTACAAGATTCTGCTGAGAATGCTAATAAACTGTAAGTAAAGGAGACAAGAGATTTTTTACGTGGAAAAATCCCACATAAGGGGACCAAAAACCACAACCTACACCTGTAGGCTTTCAACTTCACTAACTTGTAAAAACCTATTACAAGCCACTTTGTAATGACTCCATTACAAAGAATTCAACTCAACTAACTTGTGGTACTCTTACCACAAACCACTTTGTAACTCCCTAGTTACAAAGACTTTCACTAACTTGTGACGCTCTCACCACAAGCCACTTTGTCATTCTACAGTTGCAAAGGCTTTTGCTTATGACTAAACCTAGTCACAACATAAACTCAAGGAGTTTACGAATTTTACAAGAAGATTCATAATCAACGCTTCTAGCTAAGCAATTTAAAAGATACGATAAGTACAATAACAAAGTTACAACTCAACTAAGGACAACAGAATACTGACTTTAGGAACTGGTCCATAGTAGCGTTCAACTTTGTTCTTCAAGCTCGTGAGAATTGATTTCTCTGTTTTTGCAAAAGGCTTGAATGAGAAACTGAAAATTCAAGTAATGTTTCAATATACACTCGTTGTTGGTACATCTTGATCATATCACTTGAAATGATGTGAACACTTTAGTTGGTCAAGGAATGAGTGGATATTGGAAATAGTGCAGTGCAGTGTAGGCAAAAACAATGCAGGCAGTCACGTCACTTCCAGCTGTGTCCAATTGACTTTGTACTGTTGCGAGGAAACTACAAGGTATCAGGTCCTTGTTTTGTTTCCTATCTCCTGAAGCTATAGCAGTTCACCTTTAGTTGGAATTCGTTAAACTTGCAGTATAGTCCAAGTAGGTCAGGTTCCATATCTGGTTCTTAACAGTAAGTTTGTTAGATCATCAAAACATAATGCAAGGACATTTAAAACCTATCAATTTCCCCCTTTCTGATGATGACAAACTTAGCATCGATAAAGTGGATGTAGAGCAGTGAGAACCAGATTAAGTAACAGGAGAACACAAGTTTCACAATTAGTTCCCCCTAACTTTATGCCTTCCTTATTTCTCATTTTTATCTACTACACTTTTATTATTCCCCCTTTTGGCATCAGTAAAAAGGCACTAACAGGTACACAGTATAAAGAAGTCTAGCCAAGCTAACTCATGCCACATATGTGCACACAACATGATAAAGCAGAGAAACATAGAATTTAAGCAATGAGATAATAAAAAGAGGATAGATTTGATATTAACAAAAAAAATTATCTTCGCTTAAAAAGCGAAGGCAACATTGGACTGTTAAGACGGGAGCATCACTGTTTCATCCCAAACACATCAAAAAAAAAGAAAACAAAACATCTGCCAAAAAACTTAACAAAAAACATTTCCAGAAACCACTGAAGGGGTACTTCGGGAGCACTAGGAGTAAAGGGCTTGGAAGCTGAAGCAAGTGTTTGGAGAACAAGGTCTATTCGGGCATTGACCGACTTTTGCTCATTGAGCAGTTCTACTTTCAGGTTCTCTACATGCGCCCTGAGATCAACATTCTCTTTTGTCAAACGAGCTACTTCATCATTTGACGCCGGAACCCCTTGGGCTTGCTGACCTTCCAGGATAGCATTCCTGGCCTTCAACCGACGAATCTCCTCAGCTGCACTGTTCTGAGCATTAATAAGTTGTGAGACGGTTGATGTACTTCCTACTCCCCCATTATTTTCAATGCACTTGCATTCTTCCAATGTTGTCTGTGAGAAAGTCTGCTTCTTAGTCCCCACCTTCCCTGTCCCAATGGCACCTCGAAGAATTTAAACAGTTGCGTAAGCAAGAACCTGTAGGAAAGGCCATGATTGCCATCTTTGAAGGTGGCGACCTTTTGCATGTGTTCAATCATAATAGCAGACACACTCACAGGAGTAAAGCTATCTAGTTGCTCCATCAAGAACAGGTCAGACTTAGAAGTCACTGACCTCCTTTCAGCTCGAGGAAATAGAACTTTGTTTACAAATTCGAACAGTAGCTGATAGACAGGGAGTAACGCTTTCTTATGGATCTGGTCCCCCTTCTGGTTTGCATTGTCTTTTACCACGACATTTCTGAAGTTAAACTGACACACATCCTTTACACTGGACACACCAGCTGTAGGAACTTTAAGAATCTCTCTAAGCAACTTTACATCGAACGCGATGTCCACTCCATTCACCAAAGCACAGATGTGGTCTGTCTCACGGGAAAAAGGCTAGCAAAGAAGCTTTGTACCTCATCCTCATATGCCTTAGGTGCATCTATTTGGAATAGATGCACCCATCATTGAAACTCGACCATTTCAAGAATTTGTCGCATAACAGCCATCTCAGAGATTACTGGGTCAAAAGTACGACCCAGCAGGACCTTTTGGTGCCTCAGGCATTCTGAGCCAAGGCTGACTTCACTTCTTATCCTCTTCACAGAACCAGGTTCCTGAATAAGATCAGACTTTCGTTTGCCAGATTTCCCACCACTAGATTTCTTCTTTCCCTTGGATTTGACTAACACATCCTCGTCAGATATCGACAACTCACTCACAACATCTTTCAACTTGGAGCTAGAGGTTGAAGCCTTCTCTACTGAAGCAGGCTGCTTCCTTTTTTGAGACCGTCTAACCAGTGAACCAGGTTCATCTGGTGTTTCCTCTTCCACCTCTACCACAGGGATCACCTTATCATTTATGGGCACACCATCTTTCACCAGCTTTCTCTTTTGCTTCTTACTACCCTTTTTGCTCTTTTGAAGGGTAGAGTCGTAGGCCACTTTAGCTTGCAACCTGGTAGTGGGTCTCTTGGTGGAAGACTCAAGGGTGGACGCCACCCTTCGCTTTACTATGAATGCATTAAGAGCGAGGTTGTCTAAATCCTCCTCATCACCGAACCTCATCTCAGGTGCCTGTATTTCCAAGGGCACAACATCAAATGCAGGAGCAAAACTGTCCTGGGAATGAGAACCCTAACCTGGGTCCTTCGGAGAGGGGTCAGGTTCCTCATGTAAGGGCCCAGTAGTATCTGCTAGTGCAGCTCCTTCAACAGTTACAATGGCCCCTTCGTCCCCCATACCTTGTACCTCATTTTTCTGGGAGATGATCTCATGCAGTACACCATCAGCAGACACCACAAAGATGGTTACAACATTTTCTTCCGCAATCGGTACTACTGCCACCACGGAATCGGTATCAACAATAACTGAACCCTCTGTGACCTCAGGGTTTTGACCTTGTTGTTGATTAGTGGGACCTCAGAATGTGGAGAGAGCGGATCAACAATTTAGGGGTTTCTGAAATAGAGAAAGAAGGGAAATCTGGCTGAGGTGTGATTTTAGCGGGAAGGGTAGGAGTGGTTAAAAAGGGCTCAGTAGGAGTGAAGGACTCCATAGGTCTTTCAGTAACAGGTATGACAGAGGTAGTGAGGTCGAAGTTTGTATCAGCCATTGGAAAGATGAAGCGAAGGTGCTTTGGGAAGTTCGAATAGAAGACTTATGGATTGCGGAGAACAAAAAGAGGAGTTTTATTAAGAATGGATAATTATGAAGAGAGAGAGAGATAGGCACCGGTTCTGAAACGGCGATTGGGCATGGAGAAGTGCAACGTTTCAGAGGGAGATGAAATGATTTGAAGTGAAGAGACGTGACAGCAGGATCTGAAAAGTTGGATGACATGGCAGTAGAATTTTGTACCTTTTTAAGACGTGTATTAAAGAATGCACAGAACTACTAACCTTTGGTACAAGAACCAAGTTCTTGACCCGTTATTTGAAAATATTAATCCTTGTTTATCATCCATGCACTGCATCTAGCTTCTATACTCATCATGCGTATTTACCTGCAACGGTATTGAAGTGAGTTAGACAGGTCCAGAAAACACTTTTAGCCAATTTTTCTTGAAGATGTTTTTTTTCATAGCCAAATAATGAGGAATCAGGTTCTCAATTGGGCTTTAAAAGCCCCAACTTCACTCTGTTTCTTTCAAAATGTTCCCTACTTAATGCCTTGGTAAAGATGTCTGCAATTTGATCTTCTATGCTACAGAACTTCATGCATATCAATCCTTTCTCCAGTTAATGCCTTTGTTCGCCTTATTCTGTCCATGGTTGTTGTTCATTATTGTACTCTTTATCACTGGGACATTAAGAATGCCTTTCTCCACAGTGATCTTGAGGATGAAATATATATGGAGCAACCACCTGGTTTTGTTGCTCAGGGGGAATCTAGTGGTTTTGTATGTCGATTACGCATGTCACTCTATGATTTGAAACAATCTCCCTCGAGCTTGGTTTGGTAAGTACAACACAGTTATTCAGGAGTTTGGCATGACTCGTAGTGAAGCTGATCACTTAGTGTTTTGTTTGCATTCTGCTCCTAATTTGCATATTTATCTAGTGATTTATGTTGATTATATTGTTCTTACTGGCAGTGATCAGGATGGAATTACTAGTCTAAAACATCTCTTTCAGCACTTTTAGACTAGGGATCTCGACAGATTGAAGTACTTTCTAAGTATTGATGCCGCTCAGTCTAGTTAAGATATTATTATTTCACAAAGAAAGTATGCTTTAGACATTCTTGAGGAGACATAAATGATCGGCGGTAGACCCCTTGACACTCCTAAGGATCCGGATGCTAAGCTTCTGCCAGGACAAGGGGAGCCTCTTAGTAACCCTGGAAGATATAGGTTGCTAGTTGGCAAATTGAATTATCTCACAATAACTAGACCTGACATTTTATTTCCCCTGAGTGTTGTAAGTCAGTTTATGGACTCTCCCCGCGATAGTCACTAGGATGCAGTTGTTCGCATTCTTCGGTATATAAAATCAGTTGCAGGCAAAAGACTACTGTTCGAGAATCGAGGCTATGAGCATATTTTTGGATACATAGATGCTAATAGGGTAGGATCAACTTCTGATAGACATTCCACATCTGGATATTGTATTTTAGTACGAGATAATTTGGTCTCATAGAAAAGCAAGAAACATAATATAGTCGCTCGATCTAGCGCAGAAGCAGAGTATCGAGTCATGGCTCCTGCAACATGTGAGCTAGTTTGGGTCAAACAATTGCTCAAAGAATTAAAATTTTGAAAAATCAGTTAGATGGAACTTGTGTGTGATAATCAAACTGCCCTTCATATTGCATCAAATCCAATGTTTCATGAGAGGACCAAACACATTGAGATTGACTGTCACTTCATCAGAGAGAAGATTCTCTCAGGAGTTATTGTTTACAAAGTTTGTGAAGTCAAATGATTAACTTGCAGATATTTTCACCAAGTCTCTTACTGATCCCCGTATTAGTTATGAGTAATAAGCTCGGTACATATATATGCACCAGTTTGAGAGGGAGTGTTGAAAGTAATTCATGTATAGTCGTCCCACATTGGTATAGAAAGCTTTAGGTATATGTAAACATTGTATATAAATAGGGCTATTGTAAAACACTTAACAAATCAATAATATAAATTTTTCCGTTCTTTCTCACATAAAGAAAGCACCTCCTCTTTTTCATCAGGTCTTTTTATCTCATTGAACAAAAATGAAGAGCATGCCCTTAACTTACCTGGACGCGGGACCATCTGCCAATGGAAGACTTCCAACCAACAATTGCATGAATAACAACAGCATTTTCCTTTAAGTCATATTGTATCCATGTTAAATTCCAGCCAATGTTATTGAAGCATATTATGAGATGTGATATAATGATGTAGTTACCTTGATTTCACCATCATCAAGGATAATACAATTGATGAGCCTGGCACCAGCTCCAATACGAGCATTTGCAGAAATGGACACATTTGGACCGATCTGTTCAAATTAGTAACAGACAAGTTCTGGAGGTGATACAGAGGTCATAGTAAAGCAAAATCAAGACAACTTGGAACAAAAGTATCACGCGGGAATTATTTGTGGGAGAAAAACAATGGGAAAGGATAAAATATGACATGATGGGAAGGATAGATGAATGAATGCATGGAACATTAAATACGGCTCTCGTTTGAGTCATAGACGCAGAGGTGGATCTAGGATTTGAAGGTGGCGGGTGCCACCATAATTTTTTTTTAATGTACACTTTGTAATAATTAATATAGAGCTTGTTCGGTTCATTTTTTTTGGTTTATTCGGGTAATTTAATAGGCATATTTTATTTGGAAATATGAAAATTACATCTCTATCTCCTACCCTACTTGTGAGATTTCACTAGATATTTTGTTGTTATATGAAAATTACATCTCAGACATCAAGAAGCAAATGTAGTTAGCATTTTAAAAAAAGAATCACACCATTACTACTAACAATTCAAGTACAATTAATATTTTCACTTGGGAAATACATCTTTTTGTGTGCTAAAAATAAATTTGCACAAGTAAAATAGCATCTTCAAAAGGGAATTTCACTAATCAGAATAAGAAAAATAAAAAATATATATCTCCAATAGATGCAGAATTAGATAAACTACAAGATCCCAAAAATTAAAATGATAAATCGCATATTTTTCTAGGCAATCCTTGCAACATAGTCATCATAATTTAATAGTAAAGAGATTTAAATTGTATTTAACAATTATAGAATAGCACAATTTTTTATGTTATAATTAAAAATATATAAATTAAATTTGATCTCAATCCAATATTCCTATCAAGACCCATGTTTTTGATTTTGAAAGGAAAAATTTAAATGATTTGAGATTAAGAGAAATGCTTATTTTATGAAATTTTAAATTTTGGAGACTCTTTTTTGAGTGTTCTTGCTAAAGATCACATATAAAATAATAGAATACAGGGAAAAACTATAAAAAATAATGAGCAAAAAATAGGAAATTAGGAGGTAGCCAAAAAGAAAAATAACTGGGACAAAGGAAGTAAAAAGCACAACGAAAAGGGAAAGTGAGATAAGGTCCAAGATAAATTTGAACTTGAATTTTACACGCGAGAAATTAAAGCTTTCAAAAAGGTCTACTAGCCATGACACCTTTGTTTAGTCTGTAACTGGGGGTGGCAGCATCAAATATTTAACCTAATTTAAGAAAATTTCTACATAAATATATAATAATTTTACCAACATAGCGGGTGCCATACCACCCCCACCTTAAAGGGTGGATCCGCCACTGCATAGACGGTTAACAGAAATTCATATTTGATCTGGTTTAGTTCACATAGAAGTTACAGTTTTGGCAATCTAGTGAATGCACAATATATGATAGGATCCTCGTCTACTATAATTCTGTTTGGGTTAAATTCTGCGCTCTACAATGAATCAGATTCATCAGAAAACAGATGACCTTGGGCAATAATGAGTGTAAATATTTGTGTGATATATAGGGTGTTATTTGTTGCAAACTTATTGCATTGTCACTTACCATGGAAACTATGGGTGTCTAACGGGCAGGGTCAGCCCGTTTCCGGACCGGCCCAGACCGGTTAAAACCGGAACCGGCCCGGACCGGTACAAGGGGGTCGGGTGGGGCTGGGTTAAAGGGGTTGGAGGGTTTGGTCCGTTCCCATTTTGTTAACTGGTTAACCGGATCGGTCAAACCCGGTCAACGTAAATTACTGTTGAACCGGTTAACCGGCCTGGACCGGCCCAGTTTAAAAGCTATATTTCATTTTTATTTTATTTATTTTTTAAGGTTTTAGAGTCTAAGGCAATGCAAAACCTTTGAATTTACTCTTTTTTCATTAATTTACTTGTTGTTAAATGTAAACCTTTCAATTTGTAAGTTTGAATTTTGAAATAAATGTAG